TAGGGAAATGCAAGCAGTCAAGAGGTTAATATCTTTAGGCAATAGCTGCAAGGTTGAAATGTCCTGTCTGCCTTTACAGCCTTCAGAGTAAATGATGTATAGGCTGAGCATGATGTATTAATTTATCTTCCTACACAAAAAAAAAGCACTGTCATATGATAGTCACCAAAACCAGATTGCAAAACTGAGGATGTGTGTGTGAATCACTGCTGGTTTGGAATGGCTGCATTGCTGCTCTCTGCTCCATCTGGAATGTGGCAACTCACAGGATGTACCTTTTAAAAGGAAAGATAGAAGATTGCTTATGAACAGCCCTCCAGAGTTCACTGGAAACACTTACTCTCTGACAATGGTTTGGTTTTTGGCTTGTTTTTGTAGATGGGGACCAGTGCAGCTCAAGTCCTTGTCACTATGGTGGACATTGTAAAGATGGAATTGGTTCCTACACTTGTTCCTGCTTGGATGGTTATCAAGGCAAGAACTGTGAATTTGGTAGGTGTCTGCTTTAGAGAAGTGTGGCAGTGAATTTCCCAGGGAGCTGAAACACAGAGAGTTAACTCTTTCTTAACAAGCATTACTGGCCTCTTGTAAAGATGTATAGGATAGGATGGCAGTCAGCAATGAGCTGGGGGACAGTGCTAGAAACACAAAGCCCTGGTGGCTCTGCACATGGATAATATTAGTGAATGCTCTGAATCATAGAATCATTTGGCTTGGAAAAGACTTTTGAGATCATCAAGTCCAACCATTGACCTAACACTGCCAAGTCCACTGCTGAGCCATGTTCCTCAACACCACATCTCCATGGCTTTTAAACATGTCCAGGGATGGTGATTCAACCACTTCCCTGGGCAGCCTGTTTCAATGCTTGCTATACTTGCTCCAAAGAAAGCACTTCTAATTATTTTAGTGCCTCTTGACATGAGCTTGAATCCCCAAAACATGATGATACAACTAAGAAGAACAGGATTCCTGTAAGTGATACCAAAGAGCCATTCTGCCCAGCACAGCCTCCCTGCTCACCTCACCACAGTGAAGAACCAAAGAAAGCAGATTTCAGTAGCCAGTGCAGAGACCTTTTCAGCTTTGCAAGGAATAATTTGTTGCATATCCATCCTTCCTGAGTCTTGCTTCTGTGGCATGCAGCTACTACCCTGATGACATCACTGGAATGTGTGTTGGTAGCCAAGAAGTAGCATGGGGAGCATGGAACTGAAGTTCAGCCACAGGACTGAGGGGCATGAGGAATTGTTGAGTGCTTCTAAGGCAAGAAGGAGGAATTGTGTGACAATATACCAAAATCTAGATTTCTCTGATAGTGTTCTATTCATTCTTCCTGATTTCATTCTGATGGGGTGAACTTCAACACCTTCTGTGAAGTCAGTGTTGATTTATAGCTTTTTCTCCCAACTCAACTCTCTTCTAGTCATACCAAAGTACTGCAAAATAAACAATGGTGACTGTGAGCAGTTCTGCAGCTTCAAGAGGAATGTGCAGAAGGATGTTGTGTGTTCCTGTGCAAAAGGGTATGTTCTGGCAGAGGATGGCAAACACTGTGTTTCATCAGGTATGAAGCCACTTAATAAACTCATAGCAATGGTGATGAGACTTGTAAAGAATTTTTGAACCATCAGTGTTCTGTGTGATGGAGATGTAACACTGAGGCCAAATGTATTTACAAATATAGGGCTTTGTATTTCCAGAACCTTCCCTTTGTGAGGTGATGGAATGGACTTATCAAAATCTAGCTGGTTTGGAAGCCTCTGCAAGGTGCCTCACAAGAACCTGAGTAAACTCCACTGCTAACAGGAGAAAAGGGATTGCAGTTCTAGCTCATTCACTTAAACACATGCCATATAAAATACCAGCTCACAAAAACTTTTCCACTTTAGATGTCAGTCAATCTAATCAAATAGTAACTGATGATATTAAATAATTATTAATAATACTATTTACATTTGTCCATTTTTGTTGTTTTTCAACAAACCTGGTGGGAGGGATAAGTCGACCATATATTTATGATGTTGCTTTCTATATCCTTTATAGCTAATAATAAACTGCTGTCATGGGCCATATTATTCCTAAAATAAACCACTCTGTTTCCTAATTAAAATGGATTTTGTATGAGCAAGTACAGGAATATAGAAATGTAAATGATTGAAGATGATGGTTTAAGGTTTAAATGCTTTGAAAACACTGTTCAGAGACAACCTACGGGTAAGATTTAGGATTACAAAACCCTAAACTTTCCAAACCACCTGGTCTTCCTCCTTGGTTGCATCTGCCAAGCTTTTGCTAGTGTTTTCAAAAAAGGAGAGCTGCATTAACTGGGTTATTGTGAGGTGGGGTTGTCAAGGAGTCTCTTGTGCTGATGTTTCTGTCAGTCCCTACTTTTAACATCCTTGTCTTTACAGTAAAATATCCTTGCGGAAGAGTTTTTGTGAAAAGAAAAAAGAGGTCAGTTGTTTCACCTGCTGTTAATGGCAGTGTAACTGGTGACCAAGATGTCCCTCCCACAAACGGGACGAGCTTGGAGGAGGACATGGTTGCTACCACAGAAAGCCCAACCCCTCCTCCTGGCAACGAAACGAGTGGCAAGACCAATAATGTCCACACCAGGATAGTAGGTGGGGATGAGTGTCTGCTTGGCGAGTGCCCATGGCAGGTGAGTGGAAGCAGAATGTGTCTCTGAGGGAAGCTGCAGCCTTAAAATGTTGAAGTGAAAGGTTTTGTGCCATTCCAAGTGGTGCCTCTTCACCCCTCACCAGCCAGGGCTTTGGAGTCACGCTGCCCTACCAGTGACATTTGTGCAGGTTAAGTTCCAGTTGTGCCTGGCAGCAGTCTGGTGAAGTGGTACACCTGGGTGTGTGCCAGATAAAGCAGCCATCTGCTTTACCTGGATGCTTTCATGCCTAAAGCATATGAATCTAAAGAATCTGAAGTTCTCCTCCTGAGTTTGGACTCAAAATGAGCTCCTGTATTCAGGAAACTAAGGGAGGGATCAAAATCCAACAGAACTTGGATGGGAATTCTTTGGGGTGGTAAGTCCAAGAAATAGGGTGATTTGGGGGCTGCACTCTCCCTGCCTAGTGAATCAGTGTCTTGTTCCTAAAAGACATTACTTAAACACTGGGAGTGAGGTGATGTGGAAGCCAAACATCCACCCAAGGTAAAGACAAATGAGGCTTTGTAGCAGTACCTGCCAGCCTGTAGCACACACACGTGTGTGTGCAATGTCAGGAGCCACCTGCAGAGTAGTAGGTGCTGTGGTGAGAAGCATGGCTGTGGTGTGCAGAGAAATCAGTTCCCTCTCTAGAGCCCACTGGAGTCAAACTGCTCTTCTGAGTTCTCTATTTCCCTTTTTAACTCTGCAGGCTGTTCTGTTAAACGAGATGGGGGAAGAGTTTTGTGGTGGAACTATTCTGAATGAAAATTTTGTACTTACTGCAGCTCATTGTATGAACCAGTCTAAAGAAATCAAAGTAGTTGTTGGTAAGTGCTGGTTTCTTGTACTCCTGTGACATTTGGGCATCTGCTGCAGACTAATCCTCTGTGCTCTAAATTTTGTGTGAGATATGCTCGTGTTACTTCAGTTGTTATGATTTGTTACTTTTTTGTTGTTGTTTTGCTGTTTATAATTTCTTGTTACTGTGGGAATCCTGCTTTGTAACAGCAAAGGGAGGTGAGAATGGTGAGTCCCTTTCTTTGTCACCTACTTGGAAGAGATTAAGCCTAAAAATCCTAGAAGTGCTGGCTAGCATTTTGTGCATCAGGGTGGTGTTTCTTCAGAAAGTTTATCATTCCTGGCACATCTGAAGCACACAGATCTGTTCCTGCAGGAAGGCTATGACACATCAGCCAGAGGATGAAGCAGTGGGCTCACATTATGACTGCTTCACTTCTAAGGCATGGTACTAGATCAACACAACTTTATATTTTCATTGGTTTAGTCTCAAACCAGACTAGTTCCTCTTCCCTGATATAAGCCAGGCTTAAACTCCTGTAAGAGCTTCCACCCAAAGTGGCATTAGTTCAGCTCAGTTGGTTTATGCCTGTATGTGAACTGGGACAAAAATCTCCAGCCAAAAGCTGGGAACTGAACCTGATGCAGATGCTGCTAATAAATATCCAGTCCTGTTTAACATCTCTGTGG